TACTTTCCAGCCCATTTAACGAACACTCAGATGTTCCTGGATCGTCTACGTAATGCGCAACCTAACAGCGCTTGCGTGATGGAGTCCTTCGACGTCACCGCAATCTATACAAACGTGTCGAAAGAAACCGCTATGCAAGCCATACTTGCGCTCCTTATACAACACCAAAGAGAAATAAACTTGTATGGCTTCATGGTTCAGCAGCTGCTAACACTCTCAAAAGAACGCTTCAGCCGCTCAATTTTCAGATGGCCGGGGAGGTATTAGGCACAAATGAAAGGGCTGGAAATGGGGCAACGACTGGCACCGAGCCTCGCCATAGCTTTCCAGGATCGACCTTCTATTAACCTCGGCATTGGAATATGAATGCGTCATTCTCTTGTTTAGCAATCGCGAGGTTTTTAAACAGCATATATTTACTTTCATAGAGAAACACAATACAATAGAACACTGGCTGACGTTTCGGCAGTATCGCCTTCTTCAAAACCTGGAAGGGTATACTGATATACAATCTACTAGGCTAAGCGCTTCATAAACACTTACAAAAAGACGAAAAACTCTATCGTAATTACATGATCAGCAGCTTCTCGAAAAAACCCACCGCTTTTTCGTGACTTCCAGTGAGGAAGTTTAGAACAGCTGATTATAGTCGCATGTGGTTGACGACTGCACCATCCCACATCAAAAATCGATGCCAACGTACGGGATCAGGTCGCGTATGAACTTTGGGCATTCTTCCCTTCTATTCATTGTAGGGCTTTTGGCATTTATCCAAAAAGCATCAAGAAGATTTCGCGCTGGTGTTTTAGTCTCCTGTGCAAGGATATTGACTTTTACTTCAAAATCGTCTCCGCTATGCTTTTGAATCCTATGCGTGCCTAGTGGGGTGCTTCGTCTTAGTTTTCGTTTGCCATCTAGATGTTCTTTTATACGGATACACAAAGGTCTGTCCGTTTCGCCAATATATTCATCTCCGTAATTATTGCAAGAGATCAGGTATATCGTACCTGAAGTCATGCAAACACCGTCGCTGCCGTAAGGGCAAATTACGCAATTTGTTATCTCACATAGACGGTCATACAGGCGGTTACGAACTGACGACGTAGAGTAGCCGGTGGTATTTCAACTATCGCTACCGATTCCTCTAGATCTGGCCTTCTTAAGCATCGCTTCATCGCTACACTCATTTCATCGCTAATGAAGGACAAGATAAACGGGATTTTTTGTTTCGGCCAAACCCTTGGTTTTGGGGTGTTGTTCTCCTTCTAAACTTATCTCGTAAGGTTACTATTTCGTAGCCACTGGAGACGACCATTTCCTGAGCCAAGTTTTGCAATTCTTCCTTTAGTTCCTTACTTGTGCACACAGAGGTGGCCGTTCGAAATATGTTTCTCACAAGCGCCCACTTTATGTATGATATTTTATGTTTATGTTTATGTACTTTATGGTGGGAAGAAAGGAAATAAAGGAGGATGTTTTGTTACCTGGCTTTCGGTATCACTTTGTCATGTAACGGCTGCTTTATAGGCTTATTTCAACGTTTAAAAACGGAAGCGTTTATGTCTAAAATAAAAGTCCCCGTTATCGATCGCCGGCCGCTACTCTACTGCAGATATATAGATGGTTGTTTCGTCATCTTTACGCAGGAGGAGGTGGACAAATACTTTGAATTATTGAACGAGCAGTTTGAGCACATTAAGTTCACCCGGGAGAAACCGAGCAAAAACTGGCTTCCGTTTCTAAACGTTCAAATAAACCTGTCAAGTAGCGGTTACATGACAAAGTGGTGCCGAAAACTAAGCAACAAAAACATCCTGGTTCATTTCCTTTCTTCCAACCCATCACACATATGGAGGGCGCGGTCTGGCTCACCAAGCCTTCCACCCCTCCACCGTCGGTAAATTGGTACCAAACCGGGTTGGGAAGATTGTAGCACTGGTACGATACATCGATAGGCCACCGTGAGTCATTGTAAAGACCAGATTTGCATTTAATCACCTTCAAAAGATGCTCAATGAAGTCGGATGCATGGCGCAACCCTTTGAGAATGATGAACGGCAAGAGCTTTATTCTTCATCATTTACATTACGACATTTCGATCGAATGTGACCACAATGGTGCTCACTTTCATTGAAACACTCTCGTTTTAATCCTAACCCAATTGCACCATATTGTATTGATTCTCTCACAATTAAAAAACTTGTATTGACATGCCTTCAAATTTTACTCAACGAATGCGTACTTATTTTCATGCTTAGATAACGTGTCTTAACAAAGAGCGTGCACTCTTTGTAAGTTTACAACTATTCTTCTTTTTGGACAAGTTCTCAACTCTAAACAATTGTCGGCCTTTTTAAGGTTGGAGAAGTGCCCATCAACCTGCGACAAATTCCTTCCCAGAAAGACCGTAATTCTGACTCTGGTTTACTATTACATAAACTTGCTGTTGACATTAAGCCCCTTCACAAGTAAGAAGACGATTCACTACGTGCTGTAAATCTCATTTCAATAAAAAAGCTAAAAGCTCTGGACTTTGATCAATTCCTGTGTGATACGTCATGCATTCAACTTTGTCAAGCATGTATTTAGAGGTGATCGAATGCACATCTGGCATACACAGTGACTCGCAGTTGCCTACTGATGCATCGAGTCAACGCTGCTATACTCCCGTACAGGTCTGGAACCAACCAACTCCGGAATGATGGAAAGCTTGTTGAATCCGCGGTGCGGGATCGAACCCGTGTGTATTGCAGGGCTCCTCTAAGCACTGCGCTACACTTACGCCATTCCAGTATTTTTACGTAGTTTTTCAATGTTTGTTTAATATACGCTACAATCAGTCGTAAGTTACTAACTAAAGGGCTCAATGTGTTCAACTTTGAAAAAGCATCTGGAAGTGTTCCAGCAGCAGGCACATGGACGTTTCATTTAATAGGCATGATATGTACAATGTTTCAAATTATTGAACATTTAGAACCACTTTCGTCGTCAAGAGACCGCGATTGGACTTACTCTAACAAAGCATAATTTCAACCACGAATCTTTTTATAAGCCTCATTGTAGTTATTTCGGAATATGTTTTTGATTCCTTCAAAGCTGAAAATTATATGAGCCGCTCATTCAAATACTCACTGAGCAGCTGCGATACCTGTTTACTTAGTGTCTGTGAAGAGCGGTCTTAATTTGCAGTATGCTCTCCGTCAAACTCGTGGCAGGTGATTTCGCCACAGTACCCTGATAGTATGGTTTCTGCCAGGCACATTTGTTTTGCACATGCTACGCCGTTGAGAACACAGTTTGAAAAGCTGGATCCTATAATGTTCTTATAATGGTTCTTTGGAATGCATTTGCGAAGCATGACCCTCGCTTTGAGTTGAGCTATCGTAGCATCAATACGGATTAGTTTGCTTTACTTTCTAGATTTTCCAGTTAAGTCGATTAGGGCTTTCAAAAGTGGTATGATGAGCTAAATGACATTCAAAATAGACTTCCCGAATCGTTTTCTTTGCGCGATTAGCGAACAAATTTGTTAATCACTGAATATGGACCTGCAGTCCCAACGATCCACAGACTTCACTATTTTACAACATTTTTGCGATACTTTTTGCAACAATTGAAGATTTATATCCTTTAATATATCAAATATCTATTTTTTTACCAACTTCTTCATCTCTCTAACTTCACCTTGAGCTGTTTGGTCACCTTTTGTGCATCTATGCATGCTTCGTCAACAATGACAATAAGATCAACTACAACCAAGGTGTGAAAGAACACCAGTTGAACTTTTACATTCTCACGAAATTGTTGGATTAATTCCTTAATTATCATAAACACTATAATATTCACAAATGATTATTGTGTATAAGAGTGATTCTTGCGAATCATAGCCACCGTCATCTTCTCTCTCGATATTATTTCTCGACTTTCATAACGACTACAGTAAACTTTTAAGCAACTTACAATGACAGCTTGCTCAGTGACCCTTTTTTTTCTCCACTCAGTTAAAAGGTTGCAAAAACGAGTATTTAGTTTTTCGAACCTTTGTCTGAACTGGATACTCCACTTGTTCTCTCCTGTCCCACAATCCTCGTCTCAGGCACCGAAATCCCAGCTGGGGAAGAGCCGCCCGAGATTCTACCCTCTGAGCTTCGAGTTGTGATAGAAATGATGGATTGGGCGCAGTTCCAGAACCCGGTAATATCACCGCCTCATTCCTGTGTTTTGGAGGCCACTAATTACATGTATTTTTTGCAATCCATCGATGTAACATCTTGCTTTCGAAAAAAAAAAGAAAAGAAATTTCATGACGTCGTGCACGGTTATCTTACCAAGGAAAGGTGACCCAAAGGAATTTCCATAACTATTGTCCAATATGTTTGTTGAGTGTACTCTGAAAGGTGTTCACTGAGAGTATCCCACTGAGTATATTGAGGAAATTTGTATGGGACACAACTGGTTTGGCACGAAGGATTTCAACAGAGCTTCCGCTGCATCGACTAAAACCAAACCGTGTCCTTGGTAATAGGAGTTTGTTGCGAAATAACGACAACAACAGTAAGGCAGTACGGTCTAAAAATTGCTTTCAAAAAGCGTTATCTACTCAAGGTACGTTCTAATGGAAAGAAAGCTTTAGTTAGCATAAAAAAAAGAATGAAGCTCATAGCGTTGATCAATCCCTGAGGGTTACGCCATTCATTCGACTTTATTAGGCATAGTTTCGAGGTGCTCGAATGCATATCTGGCTTCTTACAAGAATCGCAGTGGCCTGCCGATGCATCGAGCCGATGCTGCTATCCTCCCAGACAAGTCTGGTATCAATTTCTGACCCCGGAGGGATGGAAGGCTTGGTGGGCCATGGGCGCGTTGATCGATCCCACGTGGATGTTGCAGAGCGCCTCCGACCACTGCACCCCACGCGCCCCTTAGCATATTACTGAAAGACGCGCTAAGGTCGTTATGGTGAACCATGACGACTCATTATAAACACAATTGTCTCCGTCGTTGTTCCTGGATAGCGACAGATCCGAATCAAAACGAATGTAGAATGCTGTTAAAATCAACGCATTAAGTTAATTCATGGACTTTTTTCAGGTAACGTGGCAGTAAGATGGATATTAGTTGCTCCTTTCATAGTTTTCGTGTTACTCATTTCTTTTCTATATATGCATATTCTCCTGCATATGCGAAATGTTTCTAAAGATCCTCTTCTGAAAACCAAGCAGACGAAGAGAACAACAAACCGTAAACTTCTCGTCACATTGATGCTGTTGGCTGGTTCAGCGTGTTTAGGTATGTTGTTATTCTTTCATTTAAGTATGCCGATTCTTTAATGAAATTCAGTTAGAAAGCTTTTTCACATTGATAACATATTGGAATTTAAATTAGGATTATAAGCTGCGGTTAATTTGATCAAGATGCTTCATAAAACACTATGCATCTACATGTCACAGCATGGCCTGCCTGTCGAAATCTTCAGCATATAAAACGCTCATGATCTCAGGAATACTTGCTTGAATGGTTTATTCTTCTACGATTGTTATATTGTTAAATCAAAAACGTTTGCGTAGGTGTGGTGAACAGGTGTTAAGTACGGCTTCGATATCACTTTTAATCCACGAATAATAATATTAATCACGAAGTGACTCCGGTAGGCACTAGTGTAAATAGCATTCGCTGTTATTTGCAGGCTATTTACCCGACTTTGTTAGTAATAAAAGCTAAAGCTGAATGTCATGGTTACATTATCAGGCTCTTAAAAAGTAGACTTGAGATCTTTTTACTGGAGCTAGAACGGCCACCCCTCGTATTAGGTTGTTCAGAAATAAATGGGCGTTTAAATTATTTTTTGTTTTAATGTATTCTTACTAGTAAAATATTTTTTGTTTCTTGAAATATTACGGATCATTTGAAAACTGATTTCGCACTTTTTAAACACGTTTTTACACTTCGTCGTTAAGCTTTTTTACCATTTTCGAACTTTGCAATTTTAGATGTCAAAAAAGTAATTTCGTCAAATTTTCTTTTATGAGTTCGAACTTGGTCGCAGTGTAGCACGCGACGGCTCAAAACACTAATGAAGTTTGGGGTGAAGATAACTTCCACCCACTTGAGTCGCACGGGGAAGACAAAGAACTCGACAACTGGGAGCCGCACGAATTAAAGGATAGTCAAAAAAAAATCGCCGGCATTAGTCAGCAGAAAAGGATCAATCCTTCTCCACGACAACGCCCGACTTCACGCTGTGGAACCAGTGCTGGAAAAGTTGAACGAGTTGGGGTACGAAACTTTGCCTTATCTGCCATATTCATCGGTCTCTCGCCAACCGACTATTACTTCTTCAAGCATCTTGACAACTTCGTGCGTGAAAAATGCTTTGCCAACCACGATGACGCAAAGAATGCCTCCAACGAATTTATCGCTTCACGAACTCCAAAAGTTTATGACACTCGTTTCGTTTGCAAAAATGTGTAACTTGAAATTTTATTTTGATTAATAAAGTTTTATTTGAAGCAAGTTATGGCATTTTTAATAATATAGTTAGAAGCGCTCATTTATGTCTGAACCTTTTAATACCGTGCAGTATTTTGACCGAATCGAAGCAATCCACATTTGGCCAAGCACACCGTTGAATGTTTGTAGGAAAGCAATTTTTGTATACCGAATATATTAGTTAATGAGAGACAGCAAACGAGAAAGCAAAAGAAAGAGTCTAACTTCTGAATACAGCCATTCCCGAAGAAGAGAATCTACGTGCTTTAGACCTGCATTTTATCGCCTATCAACCATCTGTGATGGGAATATAACATATGTCAATATTTTCTTAGACTTCTTTTTCTAACACGACTTTTTCTATCAAGGTTTTATTCGGTTAGGCACCACGTATCCTTGTGAGTAATCGGTTCGGGAAACCCCGCATAAGCAAACTCCTACAAGAGCCACATTGTAATAAACAAATATATGAACGGTGTCATTTACTTAGTCCTATTGCAATGAATAGCTTTTCAATTCATCATGTCGAACTCCTCCGATAAGAATTTACCTTTTCTTCTTCTATAAATAGTGTAGTGTTTTCTCCAGAGGGAACAAAGTTTGCACGGATTTTACAGGTTGGTTACCAACTACCGTGCTCTTTGTTCTCATATGTGATAGTTGTCTTTTCCAGCTGCCATTACGCCCGACAATGTACCTACGGTGAGTATATAATTTTAGACTTTATCTGGCTATAATATTCTCTGTTTTTCTACTGGACATTTCTAGAATTGCGAGTCATTTGCTTAACGTGTTAAAGTTGATTGTCGACGCGTTTATATATGCGAGTCGACTAGTTGAAATTCGTTACGCAATGTGGATGTTCCATTCCAATTTACAACACAAATTTAATAGTAAGTTCAAATTCAAAAAAATTTAAAATACAGAGTGGATTTTACTTAATAAGTTTGCAAGCGGTCTCCATATAATTCTTTAGATTATAATCCGCCAGCCATTTAAAATTTAACCCATGTCAACTTTCCAGCAATTTTCGAGGCTGTCAAGATCTTCAAACCTCTCCTAATAATTTCACCAGTTATTTAATCCAACCATAGCACTTTTGTGCTTACGATAACGTTGCTCAACCATTTAAGAAGTGTAACGCGGAGATAGGGTGACATACTAAATGCACTCTCATTCAGAGAAATAACTGCAAATCAATGAAGAGAACGTCTTCAGAGTGGCACTTATTGCAAAACCTGTATCTTGAAAGATACTTACTGTGATGATGTTGAACTTAAAATTACGAATGCAGGTGTTTTCGGTTGCGGAACTCTGCCGAGACCAACCCCGCCCGAATTCGCGCGGTACCTAAGCGAGACGATCGAGAGCCGAGCTGTTCGATTCCAAAAACTTAACAGTTCTCGGAAAAACCAGTCAGGTACACAGCCTATGTCACTGGTGCTTCATTACGTTAAAACAGCTGATGTGTCGAATACACTTTATTTGTATTGTCAGATAGTCGTGCAAGTGATATCAAGTGGCGAATCTGCTACCAAACTACGGAATTCTTTTAACTTCTAGAATTTAAAAACTTCGACTGAAAAAGAGGACTAAGTATCTTCACTGTTTTGTTATTCTTTCTTTTCTAGACTTCGATTGAAACATCGTTAAGGTAACAATTACACAAGCACTCGCATTAATTTTTGATAACAACTTACTAAACCGCCATTGCTGCCATTTTATAGATTTACACATCATTTCTACTCAAAAATTTATGCCAGTGATGAAAGCGAAATTTTAATGACCTGTAAAAGCTTTCTTCAGCAACATTTACTATATTCTTGATGAGCAAACACGAGGTGTTGCTTTATTCTTCATTAACGCTAATGCTGACGTTTGGGAAGATTTGTACTCTTTCAGGGCATGGATAGGACAAGTCCACAGCAAACCATTCGGCCAAACACCCCCATAACCAAACAGAGGAGACACAACAGCAAGATTTCATTCACAAAAAACTATCTCCCATTTCTGAACTTTCAAATTAATCTATCTGAAAACGTCTACGTCACGAAGTGGTACCGAAAACCAAGTAGCAAAAACGTACTGGTTTATTACCTTTCTTTTCACCCTCACACACAAAAAAGGCGCTTATAAGAAGAATGTCCTGAACAGCCACCAGTGTGCACACGGGAAGGCAGCGATGAAAGAATGCCTGAAATTTGTGCGCCTGTTCGCCATTGACTACGAAACTGTAGTTACTCGATAGGGCTGCGTAGGTGAAACCATGCATTCAAACGATGTCTAGTGAGAATAAGCTCTCGCCTAAAGTGCCCTTCATCTCTACTAAAATAAGGACAAGCATTAAGCGTTTCTTAAAATGGACCGGTCCAGAGAATTGGTTAGTAGTGGTTGAAATGTCACCGAGTACTCGATGACGCCAGCTAGTTCGCAACTGCTTGTATGACAGCATGTGTACAACGCAATATTGCTTAATATGCCCTAACGTTAGATATGGTGGTTGCATAAGTACGGGTGATGTTCATCTGGTCTTTTGCAAAACGTGGGGGATAAACACATTGGCAAAACGGGTAGACCACATGCATCAGTACAAACGAACATCTAGTGGGTAAACTTAAAGTTAAGCCTCGCAGAACTCTCGAAGCATTTTCTATCGATCCCAAGAAACCGAAAATGAACTGTAAGGGAAAGTGCATTGATGATTTGTGACATACAGTTCTTAGGAGTTATATATATTAGTGTGAGAAAGGCACACTGCGCTTCTATGTGAACGCTGTGGGGTTGGTCTTCACGTGAAATACTCAGTGAGAGACATATAGAATGCGGTGGATGTGCTAAGAAGCTATTTTGTTTTTCGTGCGATTGAACTCTTGGTATAGCGCATTCCTTGGTTTGGTTATAGAGGTGCTTGGCCAGTTAGATAGCAATTAACTTGACCTGTCCAGGCTCCGAAGAGGGAGAAATGGCCGAGACGTTAGCATTACGGTCAATAACGATTAAAGTGACACCTCGTGGTTGCTAGTCAGCAATCTAGTGAATTGTTTGATCAGTGACGAGATTAAAAGAAAATCTGACTTAGGAACTACTGCAACAACACTTTTTTTTGTTCATTTATATATACTTGTGAACTGACCATGTTGAGATGATACGACTTTGGTATAAGTTTTCGTTGTCGTTGTTGTTGGTGTTGTTTGTGTTATTGGTCGGTGGCTGACGTTTCGGTGATTTCTCCTTCCTCAGAGCCTGGAAGAGTACAATGATGCGCAACTTATTAGGTGAAACGCTACAACATCACAAACAGATCCTGAACAATAATCGATCACCGTCTTCTAAAAAAACCCACCGTTTTTCACCAGCCCTCCACCGAGGAAGAACAGCCGCTCAGAGTCGCATATAGTTGATTACTGCACCACCCCATATCAAAAATCAGTTCTGAGATACAGTGCTAGATCACGCGTTATCTCAGGGCATTTCTCCCTGCTATTCATTCTCGGATTTTCGGAATTTATCCAAAAAGCCTCGAAAAATTTGCGCGTTGGTGTTTTAGTCTCTCGTGCGATGATAGCGACTTTCACATCAAAATCTTTTCCCCTATGTTTTTGTATCCTATGCATGACTAGTGGGGTACTTTATCTTCGTTGTTTGCCACCTAGGTGTTCTCTTATACGGATACACAAAGGTCTGCCTGTTTCGCCAATATATTCATCTCCGCAATTATTACATGAGTTCAGGTATATCGTACCTGAACGCATGCAATCACCGACGTTGCCGTAAGGGCAAATTACGCAATTTGCTGTTTCACATAGATGGTCATACAGGCGGTTACGAACTAACTGACGACGTAGAGCAACCGGTGGTATTTCAACTATCGCTACCGATTCCTCTAGATCTGACCTTCTTAAGCATCGCTTTATCGCTACACTTATTTCATCGGTAATGAAGGACAAGATAAAGGGGATTTTGTTTCGGCCAAGCCCTTCGTTTCGAGGTGTCGCTCTCCTTCTAAACTTATCTCGTTGGGTTACTATTTCGTAACCATTGGAGATGACTATTTTCTGAGCCAAGCTGCGCGATTCTTCCTTTAGTTCCTTAATTGTGCACACAAAGGTGCTTATTTGAAACATGTTTCTCACAAGCGCCCTCTCTGTGTGTGAAGGATGGGAAGAAGGGAAATGAACTAGGATGTTTTTGTTGCTTAGTTTTCGATACCACTTTGTCATGTAACCGCTACTTGATAGGTTTATTTGAGCATTTAGAAACGGAAGCTAGTTTTCTTTCGATTTCTCCCGGGTGAACTTAATGTGCTCAAACTGCTCGTTCAATAATTCAAAGTATTTGTCCACCTCCTCCTGCGTAGAGAAGATGACGAAGCAACCATCTATATATCTGCAGTAGAGTAGCGGCTGGCGATCGATAACGGGGACTTTTATTTTAGACATAAACACAATGGCGGGACCGCTGTCCCATTCTTCTTTTTCATTTTCATTTAATATTTCTAAAAATAGAAACAAATGGGGCTATTACCACCATCTCATTTTCACAGAGCGTTCTTCAAACAGCAAGACCACAATGCCGAAATTGATGCAAAATTTCGCATGTTTTCGGACGATATTCTCAAAACCCTTGTCCACTATTACGATAGAAAGTATATCTCTAACCTCACAGCCGTACAAAAATGTGTTATGCGAGAAATTAGGGAATTAGTAAATTCGAAGGCCATCAGACTATCAGTTAGTGACAAAGGGGGAGAGTTCATAGCTATCCCTCACCAATTAGATGTTAAAATAACGGAGGAACACCTTGGTGATGCTACCCTTTATCTCCCATCGTCTGAAAAGGAATATGAAAGGAATGTTATTTTATCCATTCTATGAATTGTATGCCAGTATACCCTTCCAGGCTCTGAAGAAGGCGATGCTGCCGAAACGTCAGCTACCGTTGTGTTGTATGTGTTCTATTTGTAGGGAAGTAAACGTGACCTGAATAACAACTTCGCGATTGCTAGAAGAATGAGAACGCTAGAAGAATACTCTTTTCTACGTATAAGCTGAATTTTCGGCGTATTTCGCCTTATTCGAAGTTTAGAGAACTTAAGTTGATTGCAATCTGTTCAGCCAAACACCTTCATAACCAAAACAGAAAAAAAGCACGGAACCGAGAACGAAATCGCACTGAGAACAAAATAGCCTCTTCTCATGCTCGCCGCTTTCTATTGATCTCTTAGTGCTCGTGGGTAATGTAACTCTCTCACATTAACACATTAATGCTAAATATTGTGTGGGATCACGTTTCGTAACAAGACATGCCTCCCTACGGTTCATTATTTGAATCTTTTATTTGCCCAAAATGCATAGAGAGTTTCGCATTCTGAAGTGTTCAATTCCTGTGCGAGGATGGCAACTTCTGCTTCAAAATCTCCTCAGTTATGTCACTGTGTCCTACGCGCGCTTAGTGGAGTATTTAATGACTGTTTTCCGCCCCGAGTTCAGGGATGTTTCCTTCTGTTCCATTCCTGTGCACATTAGTGACTAATCGAAGCATGCTCTTAGAAGTGCTCTTTTTGTATGTGAAGGGTGAGAAGTCAGGTAATAAGCCAGCATACTTTTTTGCTTTTTTGCTACTTGACCATAGGTACCTCTTCATGATATAGCTATTTTGGGATAGGTCAATTTGGGCATTCATAAATAGAAAGCATTCTCTTACGGTTTTTCTAGGGCAAACCTAATGCACTTTGACTGTTCATTCATTTACACAAAACATTTGTCCATATCCTTTTGTGTGAAGCAGATGGCAAACCATTTGTACGTATCCTCAGTAAATTAATGACAGAATTTCGGTAAGGACAAAGCTTGATTCCAGTCAATGTCCCATTGCTAACCCTCTCTGTTGTGCGAAGCACTTCTCAGACATCAAGAGGTTGCAAAATTTAGGCACTCTCGTACGAGGGCTATGTATTGCAAAAGTGGGAAGTCATACATGTTTATTGGTCCTTCGTGTTGCACAATGAGTCTGAAGATGGCTTGCATAGCCGAGTCACTCGACAAATTTGCTTAATGTGGACTCTGTCATGTACGTGCTACTAAGATGCGCGCTACTTAGAAGATCCAGCAACATTTTTGGATTTATGAATAGGCAAGAATGTGCTCCAACAACTAGGTGAGTATTAGCGCTCAATACCGCTTTATTCTACCCACTGTTCAGTCTGAACCTTGAATAAGTATAGGATTGTTAGGTGGAAGATCATCGGTGAACACTAACTTATAATCAATGTAGCTTATTTTATCAATTAGCTAACTAACACGGAGTTGATAAAAAGACAAAGGATAGAGCCATGGGCTTCGATCAATTCCTGCATCCTCCATTCGACTTTAATAGACATCGTTGGAGGAAGCCGGTTGCGTATCTTCCTTTTACAATGACTCACCGTGGCTTACCGTTGTATCGAGGTAGTGCTGATATCCTCGCAGACAAGTCTGGCACCAATTTGCCAACCCCAGAGGGATGGAGGACTTGGTGGGCCTGGAAGACGTTGATCGTTGGTGTGTATTCCAAGGCGTCTCCGA